CCCACCCCCCTACACACAAGCCCTTGCCACTTAGCTGAGCTTCAGAGGCCTGCGCGGTTAACTCTGCCCAGCAAGAGCTCGCGCGGCAAAGTCAGAGCCCCAGCTACCACGGCCAATGTTTGCCCTTTTAAACTAAGTTCACATGCAGCCTTCAGGGATGCTGACATATGGTCTGGGGGTCTCTGCTTCTGTTTATTTGAGTTTGACCCAATCACGTTACAGTCGGGCTGAAATCTGCCACTATAAGTGTTATTGTTTAGTCATTTCAGTCGTGTCTGACTCTCCATGACCCCATTTGGGGTTTTCTTGGCAAGATACTGGAGTGGTTGGCCATTTCCTTCTCCAGCTCATTTTACAGATGAGGAAACTGAGGCAAACAGGGTGAAGTGCCTTGTCCAGGGTCACACAGCTAGTAAGTGTCTGAGGCCAGATTTGAACTCAGGAAGACGAGTCTTCCTAATTTCAGGCGTGGCAATCTATCTAGTGTGGCTCCACCTAGCGGTCTCTATAGGTGTCTACCCTATAGTTTAGCTCAAGGAGACTTCTCCCCGGCCCTGGTTTTCCTCCAGTCCTTTACCCTCTCTCATCAACCTGTTTCCAACTCTCTTTTGGGAGGTGGCATGGAACAGTGCTGGATTCAAGTCCCAGCTCTACTTAAGACTTCTGTGACCATGGACAAATCTGTGAGCCTCAGTTTCCCCCTTTGTAATATGAGTGGCTTGGACTAGAAGACTTCTTAGGTCCATTCTATCTCTAAATCTATGATCCAAGGAATAGACGGACAAATTGGTTACATCTACATGAATTTGAGTGATCAGTCAGTCAATACCATGTGCTAGGTGCTGTGCTAATAAGCGTGGGGTTACAAAGAAAGGCACCAGCTCATCCCTGCCCTCAGGAAGCTCACAATAGCGCTGTCCAAACAAGGGGTATACAGTATAAATTGGAGATCGGCACCACAGGGAGGGCACAAGCGTTACGGGAGATGAGAAAAGCCTCGTGTAAAAGGGGAGAAGTTAACTGGAAGGAAGTCAGGAAGCCCAGATGAGGAGAGAGGGCATCCCAGGCACGGAGGACAG